AAATTAAAAATTGCTTCAATCTTTGATCTTTGAAATGGCGAGACTTTTTTTTTGTCATACTCTTGGCAGACAGGACGCTCCCACACAGCAGACATTCGGCTTCTCCTAGTTGGTTTCCAGTGACACTCATAAAGGCACTGTGTTTTCTCTGTTCCTTTTGGAACTGTTTTTATGACGTGGGGCGAGCAAGATGTCTTTTCATTTTGTTTCTCTACTGACTGCAAGTTTGTGTTTCGACAGGTTACAGCCTGATAACAAGTAGCTGTCACTTGTGCAGACAATTGATCACAGCCGTCAATCAAAATCAAAAAATAGTTTAATACACTGCATTTTATTTGAACTCGATTTGTTATCATGAAACTGAAAGAATACTGATGTTTAAGACTGTGTGTTTTTATTCGTAACTTTACAAAGAGTAAGACTGGACATCGCAGGCAAGTTCTATCTCTCTATCTATTTGAATTCCTATCTCTGGTCACGGCTTCTTCTTTAAGAGCGTGCATTCGTTTCTGTACGTCTCTAGATCAGCGATCCCCGACCTTTTTTGTACCAAGGACCGGTCAGCTGGTATCAGCCGTTACTGCGGAGCGGTAATACCATGCCCTCATTGAAGGATCATTAATTTTTCAAAACAAATGATCTTTTAGATTTTCTTCTGTTAGTATCAGAGTCTGAATGACCTGTTGTTTTGAAACATTGACAGAAAATCTTTGAATGAAAATGTGACCAAATGACCTATGGACCGGCACCAGTCCCCAGACCGGGGGTTGGGAACCCCTGCTCCAGGTGACACAGCATTAAGTGGATTAGTAAGGTTTACTTTTAGCATTTGTTTTTTTGAAACATTATTTTTGTTTCTATATATATGAGGTTTGAACCCTAAGAACAACTCACCTGTTGAAGGACTTGAGTTTTGGCTGTAGCAGGACAAACAGAACCACCAAGAGCAGGATCAGAGCTACTGAGCTGGCTGTGGAGGCCACGATGGACAACGTGGGCATCCCCAGTGGTAAGGTCGGGTTATGGTCTGTGGGACAAACAAGCCGTTATCTGCTACAGAACTTTGAAATCGACTTATCTCCCTGTTCACGCGCGTCACTTATCTTTTACCTTGCTTCATGAGGCAGCTGAGCTTCACCTGGCTGTCCCACTCCCCATACTGACAGGTGAGGTATTTATAATCCCCCTTCAGAATGTAACCCTCCTCGCAGAAGTACTCAATCACTGTGCCATGCGTGAGTCTTTGGCATTGGGACGGGTGACAGGTGTAACCCCCGTTCTCTGGCTCATATGGAGGCTGACACACTGTCAGTAAGAAAAAAACACACAGATTTATAAATGTTAAAAAGTTTAACGTTAATAATAAATCTGACGGATCTGCAGAGAAACACCGATTCACAATTGGAATACATTTTTGACGATTACAGATAAATTTATTATTGCTTGGTTTGATAGACTGAACTAATTTTGTCGTATAAGCTGATTATGCTTTACTTATCCAAAAAAAACCAGCTGTACTTTGAATTGTGCAATTCATCCGACATGAAGTGAAATCAATTTTAACGTTTTTAAATGCACTACAGAAAACTACAAAAAAATGTAGGGCCACGTAGAAAATAAAAAATGAATTTAATTACAAGATAATATCCACAAATTTACACTAACAAAGTCAAAATGTTTCAAAAAAAATTTTTTTATAAGAAACAAATTCAAAAAGTTCAAAAAGAATAAAGTTGTAACGTTACGAGAAACGTGTCTGAACTAAAAAAAGGCGCAAATTTATGAGAATTTACGACTTTTCTCGAAAGGTTACAACTTTTTTTTCATCTGTTTTGATATTATTCCTGCAACATAAAGACTTTTATTATAAAATGACAACTTTTTTTCTCACAGCATTATGACTCTACACTTGTGATGTTTAAACTTTATTCTCAATTACGAGAGAAAAAAATCTCGAAATTTTATTTTTGCTCTCACTGCGTCCAGAACACTAACCTATGATGTGTAGTGAGGGCGACGTGTGATCTCATTTTAAACATGCAGTGGTCCTGTTCTGCCTCATCACTGTACAACGGACCAGTTGGAAATATTGATTATTAGGATGTGTTCGTACCGTCGTTCCGTATGCAGCGAGGAGGTTCTGAGGACCAGAGACCTTGTGCGGTGCAGGTACTGGTGCTGGCTCCGTCCATCAGGTAACCAGAATCACAGCTGTGCTGGAGCGTCGCGCCCACGGGGAACATAGTCATGTCGTTCTCTGTCAGGCTAGTTGATCCGTGCTGCACCGGGGGGGGTCTTCTACAGCCTTATTAAAAAAAAAAAAAAAAAACAGGAATAACCATCAAAACTCTCTGCACAGAATACAGTATGTTGTGGAATATTTCCACCAATCTTTTTACCTGGCACCGTGATGCAGCTGACTGGCCTCGTGTCCCATTTTCCAAACTGACACTTGTGAAATTCATGCTCTCCTTTTATAGCGTAACCATCGTCACAGTAGTACCGAATTACCGTGCCGTGAGAAAAACTTCCACCACACGGGGAGGGGTGGCAGCTGTAGCCTCCGTTCTCTGGCACGTATGGAGGCTGGCAAACTGTACGTGGTGCAAAAAAAAAAGAAAAAAAAAAAGTTTAAAATATTTTCATTTCTTGTGTGACTTAGACAAGGCCTGAGAATTATATTTACCGTCACTGCGTACGCAGCGGGGAGGATCAGACGACCAAAGACCCAGCGAGGTGCAGGTGATGACGCTGGGTCCAGCTGGCAGGTAACCAGGATCACAGTCATACTGTAGTACAGTGCCCACAGGAAACAGGCTCCTGTTGGAGTCTGTCAGATTAGTCGAGCCGTGCTGCACCGTGGAGGGTCTGACACAACCTTAAACAGAGGATTCAGGACAATCAAGAACTGCCTTGGTCCATGAGACCACAACATCCGTCCCATTCATTACCTGTACAAGTAACAACACTGACTGTGTAGATTTGACAACTCCATAACGTATGAACAAAAGTTTGAGATTGATTATTATTCATTCAAGTTACAAATGACTTTTTAAGCTCCCGTGGACCACACTACATGACCTGGCGGGCCAAATCAAGCCCTCGGGCCTTTAGTTTGATGTATGCATTTTTAGGGGTGATGTCATATATAGTATATGCTGCTCCATAATGTGCATTTTAGTGACATATAAATGTAGTAACAATAGTGACTCAGTAGTAAGCACACAGTCTTCGAGGGCTTCGAGAAAATACGACATTTCCAAGTTATGAGTGAGTGAACTTTTGCAAGATTTTCTTCGTGAAACGAAACGAGTGCTCAATCGAGGTCCATTTTTCCACTGGACACTGTGCTCTCGCTCAGTGCTCAACCGAGGTCCATCTTTCCACTGGACACTGTGCTCTCGCTCACTGTCCCTCACTGGGTCATTTTACCCATTTTTATAACAATAATAAAAAATGTTTTTTTAATTATTACTATATTATATTATCAATATATTTGTTTATATCTATGTTTTTGATGTTTAGATGGGGGGAAATGTTATTTTATTATTTAATAGTATATATTTCTAGGGGGCGGGAACAAATTGATTCGTTCTTAGTTATTTTTAATGGGGGAAATGCAATCGAGATATGAGTGCCGCTGTACTATATTAATAAGATCCATCTTAATAAGAGTTTGGAGTCCAGACCAACCTTGGCTCACGCAGCTGATCTCCATGGGACCATCCCACTGCCCGTCCTCACAGGTCAGATAATTGTAGTCTCCACTGAGAATGAAGCCCTCGTCGCAGAAGAACTCGATCACAGTGCCGTGAGGATACATTCGACAGGGCGACGGGTGGCAGGAGTAGCCCCCGTTCTCAGGTTTGGTGAGGGGCAGACAAGCTGCAAGGAAATGACGCAGAGAAGATGGTTTCAAAACCAGTGATAATATAAAAAAAAAATATATATATATTTTATAAACTTACCCAGGGCAGAATAATAATACTAATAATAACGCGAAACGATCAATCACATGAATGGAGGATGTTCAACCATCACAAGCAGGTAGAGGTTTTTTATTTGATTGTGTTAGTTATGGCTGACTAACGATTCAACAGGCCAGTGAAGACGGATGAACACAAGTATCTTACCACCGGTGCGTATACACTGAGGAGGTTCAGAGGACCAGTGTCCCAGCGTGGTGCAGGTGAGAATGCTGGGTCCATCTGGTAGGTAACCAGGGTCACAGCTGTACTGCAGCACCGTGCCCACAGGGAACAGGCCCCTGTTGTTTTCTGTGAGGTTTACCCAGCTGTTCTGGACCATGTATGGCCCCACACATCCTAAGAAGTGAACAAAACACAACAAAACAAAACACAATGTTTTTTATGTTTTTGTAACATTGAAGCGGGCAATGTTTTGAAGCTAAAGTTACATTCTAAATTCTACTGGAGGTTCATAATAGTGACATCAGCAATACAGCTGTCCTGGGAGGGCCGGTTGTAACTGTAAGAATGTACGACTCCATAAAGTATTCATAAATGTTTCTGCAACTGATTATTACACTGTGAAGCAGCAGAATTTATTAAGAAAGTTATTATTAACACCCCAATGGAGCATACAAATAACATTATTACAAATAAATAATAAACAAATATTTCCTTCCATTTTTTGGATGTACATAATGTAGTAATTTTGTAGCCATAATATTTTATGACAAATTTTTATCATTGACAGTACAGTAACAATATTTTAACCTTTTAAGGAATCAAATACTGTACGGTGCAAATCATCCTTAAGCATTGAAGTACTACTACGACCACAATAAATAACATGGTGATCTATTTTTTCAAACAAATACTGAATTTATATTTAAGAAAAGTGGGCAAAGGGCAGCACAAATGTAATCTTTATGAGTTAATAATTATAATAATAATAATAATGCCTTTTCATATTTGCCTACATGATGCAGTGAAATTAAGTTTCACTTAGACACTGTAAAATAATTTGTTTTTAGAACTACATTACATTACATTTACATTTAAACTATTGACATATAAGAACATGTCTGTCCGAGGTGCGTTCAGGTACCCATATTTGCCTACATGATGAAGTGAAATTAAGTTTCACTAAGACACATTTAGACATAGACATATTTAAACTATTGTATGTCTGTCCGAGGTGCGTTCAGGTACCAAGGGAAACTTTTAAATCCGACAATTAAGGGAGTTTCCAAAGTGTATGGTTCAGGACAAATTGTTATTAAAAAAAAATCTTATTTTCAATATTTTTTCTTGTCTTTCCTTCAATTTTCTGAACCCTACGGTGCCACCTGGCGGTCGCCATTGTTCTACAACTCTGTTTTTCTTTCTAAAACTCCTGTTATTCCTTTCACTATTGGTAAACATGATTTTCTACAAAGCAATGCAACACATTAACTGGGACCAACTGTCCCATCAAGATATTACAATAAAGACAAAAAGCAGGTGAGTGCAGTCAACACTGATGCCTGTCTCTTCTTACCTGATCCTTGTGCAGTGGACACAAAGCTGAGCCCCAGCAGCAACACAAAGCTCCGTTTAGTGGCAGTGGTCTGGGCCCAAAATGACTTTGACTCGATCATTCCATTGCACATCTTCCCCTGCAGAATCAATTCAACCTGGAAAGGTGGAGAATAAGAACAACTCATTACATGATAAAAGGTATAAACAGGGCTCCAGACAGGGTCCCGCAGCTGTGGCCTGCCGCCGACACCTGCCTGCTGCAGGTACTCTGCAGAGCTTGGGCTGCTGCCAGGGAAATGGGTGTGAGTGTAGGACAGTGGTCATAACGACACAAACAAGACAAAAGACGAGCTATTCCATTGGACAGTACAGAGTTAAAGAGAAATTAATAAAGTAATACGTGATTGATTGCAGTTGTACCAAAAACAAATTAAAGAGAAATTAATAAAGTAATATGTGATTGATTGCAGTTGTACCAAAAACAAATCTTTGGCTAAACGTATATTGAGATTACGCCGGTTCCGAACGGTCCGTTTTGCAGCAACACACCCATTTTAACCTCTTCCTCATTAGCCATGACAACCAAGGTTAATGTGCTGCAACACAAATACAATTATCCTATCACTGGAAATTTGTCACTAATCACTTGTTCACACTGCCAAACATGCCTAAAAAATACATAAAAACAAGAGTAAATGTCAGACCAGCCTTCATGGTACGGTCAATTATAGCCGTTTTAGCTTTCTAGCGGTAGCTACACCAACAGTAGCTCGTAAAGGTTACTTACCAGAAGAAAACGGCCGCTAAACCTCCACCTTAGGTGGTGACACTACAACTGGATATCAGGAAAACATCGACTACAACGAAGACATGTATAGGGAGAGTGTTAAGAACAGAAATACGGTTTAACAGGCCGAGCAGTGCTTCAACAGCTAACCGCTATCTAGCTTTCTTGTAGCTGCGTCAAAGGGAGCTGATCAGCTGACCACAGCCATGGTAACCACTGTGGTTACAACATCCGGGAGAGTGTGCGTCCATAGTTACAGCTGTATACATTTGGCTGAAAACTTTAGAGAATCTTTGTAATGTTAACGTATGACTATGGAAATTTTTAAAGGCTGTTTAGACGACATTTCCCGTCCCGCGTCCAGTGAGCAGACTCAGAGTGAAAGACTTTGTCCGACAACTCCCTTTGAACTCGTCGTTTTGACCAATGATGCTCCTGCGGATACGGAGGTAAATATTAATAGTAGTTATTACTACGTTGAAATTTGCATTTCGCTTTTTTTTACATTAAATTTCCCAATAGAACCAATGCAACTTTACATTAACTTTGTAAATTTCCCAATAGAACCAATGCAACTTCGAAGAACCTATCAGCTCCACAGCTAGCGGGTTTGACAAAGGTATGTGTTGTATGTGTAAAAGTAAACGTTTCATACTTTAGATGTTGCCATAGGCAGACTCTCTGGCTTTATTTATTTCTTCTGTCTCAATGACTGACATTCTTTTCTCTAGTCTCTCCTTTGCAAAACTCAAAATCCCCAAGTTCACCTGCGCTCTGTTCTAACTGCAGGTTACATTGTTATTTGTCAACGTCATGATCCCTCATGATCCTCTAACCTCTGACCTCATCTGTTAACCTCTCCTTCTTCCCTGTAAACAAGAGTTTAGAGCTGATCTCTGACCTAACCACGCTCCTTATCTGGACCCATCGGCCACTTGGTCTGCAGACCTCACCTCTGTCTTGCCATCCTCGTATATATTCCACACCACTCTCACATACTTCTCTGCCACTTCTGACCTCTTCATACGGAACTGCAGTTCTACTTCTTGGAACAGGTTTTTTTTTTCCTAGATTTACAAAGACACAGTGAAACTGATCCTGGCCTTCGCTGTACTTTTTTTCTTTTTACCCAACCATAATTCCAGATCTAAGCAATAGTATATAGCAGTTGCATCTGTTTATCGTCATTTTAAATATTAAATGTTAACCCTGTTACAATTGAGTTTGACGGTCCTGTTTTAGATGAACCAGGAGAAGACGTGGAACTCCAACGGGCCATTGAAGAAATGAACCGTCTTGATGAAATACTGTCAGAAATGGTGCGCAAAGAAAAAGAAGCCAAGCGTCAAAGAAAAGCACTTCAAATGAAACTCTGGCAGGAGCTTCTGGTAGATTCTACAGCTTTTGAGTTGTAATAATAATATTATTAATAATAATAATACACGTACATTACACAAACCCACGTGGTTTTAATACTGTGGTCTCATCATGGTGTATCCTTCTGCAGCAGAACAAACCTGATGGTTATACAGAAAGCTCACATGAAGCTTTAAACACCAGGCTGTTTTTATCTCTGGAAGCGATAGAGGACGAAGGGGAGGAAGAAGCAGAAGAAGAAGAAAAGGACTTTGTGGCTCTTTTCGAAACCCAGGTTCCTGACTGTGATCAGGTCGGACTCGGCCGAACTCTGGAGCAAAGTAAGGTTTTTTAAAAATTTTTATTAAGTCTAAGACAACAACAAACAAACTCATACTAGCGCTGGTTGAATTCTCTAAATTGACGTCGTCTCGAAATATGATATAGTTACTTGTACTGGCTTACCTTTTACACACGGGGGCGCCATGTGCTCAGTTAAACCTGTGCTTTTCTAACGGCCCAGCGCTACAAACACATGGAAATATGCACGTCGATAAACTTCTAACTTCCCTGTTTCCTATGTTATGTATTGTTATATATGTTTATTTATTCATATATTTTTTAATTAATTCCCTCTCATGTTCCAAATACAGAATAGCTGATAATATCTGATCATGTTGTTAGAGGCAGTAAAATTAAAAACATTTCATCATCTAAATCAGGGGTGGTTCAGGGGCCACATACAGCTGGATTAGATGTCAGAGCGGTCGGACCAGTAGAACAATAACATAATTACTTAATAAATAAGGTTAAGTGCATGTTTTCCCCCTTTGTTTTCATGTAAATAAGTACAAGTATATATTAGAAAATATTTATATTTAATGAAATATAATTTGACAAAACATCATGAACATGAAGTGCATTTTTTCTCACTTTCAAAATGTGTTCAAAAAGTGGGCCGGATTGAATCACCTACTGCATTGTTTCCCAAAGTAAGCCGGTTTGAATCACCTACTGCATTGTTTCCCAAAAATTGTGTCACGTCCCTAAGGTGGGTCACAAGAGTTTTTTTTGGGTCGTCTCGCATCATGTTTCCCAGGAGTTTACGAATAATGTCTACTGACTTGGGTCGTGAAGGGTTGTGACCTGGGTCCCCAGAAAAAAAAGTTTGGGAAACACTGCCCTAGCGGACCGGTTTTGGCCCGCGGGCCGTATATTTGACATCCCCGAGATTGTCTAAATGCCCAGTAAAGTGGCTGCTTTTACACTTTTTAAAAAATGCTTTTAATTATTGTTGAAGGTGGACACATTTATTCAGCATTGTTTGGACAGCTGTTAACTCTCCAGTCACACGTCTTGAATATTAAAACTCATCCATGGAAAATGAGTCCAATATAAACGCAGTGATTCCAAAGCTTACGCTCTCCTTTTCCTGTGTTTTTTCCTCTGGAATGTAACGTGTGTCCCTTCCAACAGGTGAAAAGGGAGCACTCAGCTGGACCGAGTCCCTGGAGTCCGGGGACGAGCCGTTTGAAAACAGCCACTGTGGAGCTTCCAGAGGGACGAAAAAACAAAAGGACTTTGTCAAGAGAAACATTGAGGTATGTCAAAGTTCACGCCGGCCAAATGCAGCGCCGGGATATATCGCATGACTTAGTGCAAATCTTTCAACCAGTTGTTTTTCCAGTGGGGAAAATATTTGCCTCGTGTTGATCGAGAGACATATTTCAAGGCCGTCAGGACATTCCTGGACCTGGACCATCTTCACCAGTTTATATATGCTGAACGCTGTTGTTCTTGTGTTTTCTGTAAATGTTGTGTCATGCATCAGTTGGTGAGTGGTGAGGGGGGCCAAACGCTTTTGACTGCGGCAGAGAAACAGCGCCTGGCTGAGCTCCTAGAAGAAATGGACGAAGAGGATGTGGACAGTGCCAGAGGTGCAGACACAGAGGTAGAGTTAACTTCCTTAATACTTCCTCTATTGTGTCCAAAGGTCTTATGGTGGAAATCAGTGCCAGGGACTGGACTCAACCTAAACAGATGCTGCTGACATTTGAAGTTCATATTTTCTTACCTTATGGTCTTTTATGGAGTCCTTTCTGAAGGCAGAGTGTCTGACTTCAGAAATAGATTATTTTTTCCGAATCCTACTTGGCAGAGTTTGTGACATTATCTAACATTTGGCCTTTGAATGATGTTATTGAAGACATTTTTGGAATAACTCAGCTGTGGAACTCACACGTTGGTTTACACCGGTCAGACCCGTGTGTTTTGATGACTGCCTGGCGGCTGAGATGCCTCCGGGCAGATGATCCCAGCTCCTCGCAGCACTTCACTTTGAGAACCAGATGTGAAGTGCCCTGTGCAGTTCACCAGGAATGTCGGTATTTAAGGGATCATTTTTACACTTATATTTTTCCAGCAATGTCCACGCTGGTGTTTCAACAAAAAAAAACAAAAAAACACAGTAGCCGGGATCTTTTCACCATCCCTGGCTATTAGCTGCAGATGCCGCCGCGGTGACGGTGTGCTGATGCTGAGGCCTCGTGTTTGTCTTTGACGGATCCATAAGAAACAGTAGACTGTTTCACTCTTGACCCGTCTGCATCTTCCTGCCTTTGTTTTGTTTTTTTCATTTTTAATTAGCAGCTCTGAGGCCACTTTGAAGTCAGTCAGGGTGAAGCCTGTTTGAAAGTACCTTCACACACGGTTTCGTTTAGCCCTACATCCGCGGGACAGCTGGCCAGAGGCGTCTTTTATGTCGTTCTGCTCTATTTATGATGTTTACCTTGACATGTAAGCACAATGCTGAAGTCATTTTGGTGGCAGACACCAAACTGAGGACTGCGGATGCTCTGTTGACTTCCTTTTATCGCCAGATATATTATTATGAATGGACATCACGGAGCGAGCACATTATTTATGTCACCCGGACTTTGGCGGTCTCTCACGCCTGCAGCTCTGAGGACTAAGAATCAGAATCCCTGAGGACACGTGGGCCACAAACTGCCGCTCACTGTTCTCACACACGTTTCTGATGTGACTCACTTTTATCCTAACAGGCCGCACAGTTTTGTTTGGTTCCTTTAACCCGAGGCAGTAAATCACTGGCAGTGAGTGATTGTGGAACATTGTTGGAGCAGCGACATTTGACGCTGCACCACAGGCTCAGGTTGAAGTCGCTCGTAGGGAAGGATATCACTTATCTCTTCAGAGACTCCAGAACAACTGTTTGGTGATTCAATGGAAAAAAAATGAAACTCACTGATCGTTGTTGAAGAGTCCAAGAAGATTGTGTTACAATATCTGCTGCTTTAAACTCTTTGGACAAGAATGTGTTCAAGTTACAAATATTGTGCATTGTTCTGTGTAATCTAAAAAAAAATCAAGTTAAGAAAACTCAGCAGCATGGACTTTATTATAAGACAATGAAACACTTTTAAAGCTCCCGTGGGCCACACAAAATGACTTAGTGGGCCTCATTTGGCCCACGGGCCTTGAGTTGGACACGTACTATAGACTGTCAAATATAGACAGAACTCTTTGGGGGTAAATGTAACAATAGGATTATTTGCTTTCTTGTCGTGAGTCATGTGAAAATTGATAACTCTCACATGTTTTTATTGAAAAGCCATGAACTAGGGCTAGTTAGCTTATCACAGTTAGCAGGAAAGAAGTCGGAACACCCTTCAGCTAATCATTCATTTGTGTGCAGAACGGCATATTTTTTTGTTATTATTCTAAAACAAAACTAGCATTATTTACTGTTTTTATTTCATACCATTTAGAATAGTGAAATTCTATAAAATCAAGGACTTTCTTTTTTACTTTTGCTCTTTTTTAGCTAGCTTTGGGCTACTTTGATCATGGTATAGGCTACTGGCTATGTCACTCATACACATGGACTATTGTTAAGCTACAAATTAGCATTTAGCAAGTATAATTTGGTTGATGAAGGTACATTTTTGTTAACACTAGTTTAGTTCAAGTTTCCTACCAATTTTAGCATTGATAGCTGTGTGCTATTGTTTTCTGGCTTCCCTCGTTTAGCTTTTTTGGACAAATATTTTAACAAGATGACACAAGACAATGTATGGTATGACAATGTTGACTATTATTCGAATATTTACTGTGGTTCCTTTTTTGTGCTCCTGTGTTTCTGTATTTTTTCCCTTGGTTTGAGGACTTTCTTTTTTACTTTTGCTCTTTTTTAGCTAGCTTTGGGCTACTTTGATCATGGTATAGGCTACAGGGTCTCGCTGTCTATCAGATTGGCTTTTTTTTAGCCTACAAATTAGCATTTAGCAAGTATAATTTGGTTGATGAAGGTACATTTTTGTTAACACTTTAGTTTAGTTTTAAGTTTCCTGCCAATTTTAGCATTGATAGCTGTGTGCTATTGTTTTCTGGCTTCCCTCGTTTAGCTTTTTTGGACAAATATTTTAACAAGATGACACAAGACAATGTATGGTATGACAATGTTGACTATTATTCGAATATTTACTGTGGTTCCTTTTTTGTGCTCCTGTGTTTCTGTATTTTTTCCCTTGGTTTGTGTTATTTTAGCTTCATTTTTACTAGCCTTTTGTAGCATAGCATATTTGTATGCGTTTCTGGGCTATCCTGTTGTATGCTATAGTTTGTCCAATATGTGTATTTATGTTAAAGTGGGACGGCTTATAGTAGTACGATCACTGGTCCACAACCGCTGGTAACTGATGGTCTGTGAATGTTAGCATGATTTGTCCCAGTGTGCATGGATTTCCACCCATAGTCTGAAAACAGTGTTTAGGTCAACTGGACACTCTGGACATCTGACCATAGATAGGACTGGCGACTGTTGATGGTGTACCGCACCCTCACTCGATGACTGCTGGGTCTGGCTCCAGTTACCCCCGTGACCCTCAAAGGGATTAAGTGGGAGGAATGCAGAAATTAAACAAAGCATTTGTAATGCTCTAATACATTTGTTGATGGTGTTGTCTTCATTTGGAGTTTGCACGACACTGCAATAAAACAACGGAACACTCAAGTATAATAGGTGTCATCTCTCCACCCCGTTAATGGAGCCTTGTTTAGTGTCCGCTTGTTGCTAATGCCAGATTTCTTGAACTCTCTTGTCGGCGTTCAAAGGTCACAGCTGCATTCTGTTTAGAGTTGTGATTTTCTCTGTCATGAATGACTGACTCTCGGCCCTTACTTCACCACTGAGCTGTGATGAACTCACCACACACCCATCATTCATCTTGGGGGTTACAGTAATAGCTTACTAGAATGGACGAGTGGTGCATTTAAAGTAGGGAACTCTGATATTAACTTTATGCCGATATCGTCCAAATATTTATTTGTTCAAACCACCGTATGAGTTGCTGGCACCAGAATTATGCATATAATTCCCAGATTATTAAAATAGTTCAATAAAATGAGCTGCAATGCTGCCATCTAGTGACTTTCAAGTTCATATACAGCTGTTTTTTCCCAAAACTATTTTTAGAGCGCACTTCATTTGGCGAAATCCAGGCATTGCGTTATCAGGTTTTCATTATCTGAGGAAAAACCAATTGCGATTCTTACAGATATGACATAATTATGCTAATATTGGGTCGATAATATAAGTTGGCCAATATTATCTCTAATTTTATATCAACTGGCAATCAAGAGAATTGCACGTCTGTCTCTGTTTTTAGATATTATCGGACATGTCTAATTTTATATCACCTGGCAATCAGGAGAATTGCACGTCTGTCTCTGTTTTTAGACAGGAGAATGTCACGTATTACTACAAAATGAAGCGGTGAGCTCCCACTGACCGAGGTAATGCTTTTCTTTCAGGAGGACATGTGGGCTGTGTCAGTCTTGACAGGACAAGGTTACACCCCCGAGCCCTCCGACCTGGAGCAGCTGATTGACATCGACTCCAAAATGCGCCTCCTTCTCCCAGATGAAGAATTTCACTCGGTGCAAAGTTCCTACACAAACTTAGGCATGACCCAGGTACGAGTTCAGCCACACTACATGTGTAGTCCCGCCTGAGTGCTGCCAAACACCCTGCAGGGCCACTCTGACACCGGGTCACATGTCTCACTACCACATTGTCTCAGCAGGGCGTTGATGGTCATATCTAGTAAAGGAAAAATGTGGGGATGTTCACAGTTTTTTTCTGCCTGCAAACCAAGTGGAAAAAAAAACCCTCTCGTGTTGTTCAGCACAAGTGCAACTACAGTTGTTCTAAGTAGCAACCTTTAGGGCAGGGGTTCCCAACCTGCGGTCCGGGGACTAGTACTGGTCTGTAGGTCATTTGGTTCCGGTCCACAGTGGGACAAATGTACTTCAGTTTTACTAATTCACTTCATTATTCACATCATATCCCTTTAGTTTTTTTCATTCAAAGATAATCTGTTAACGTTTCAAAACAAACATTTTCTTTACCCTATTTTTCCGATTTGTCATCACTTTTTTTTTGTATTTTGATGTTAACTCTCTCTTATCTCGCCATGTCTGTGTAATCCATTAATCTGTACCACATCAGACGGAGAAGAACAAACTTCACAGACATTTAAAAATAAAAAAATTCCAGACTTTGGTGCTGGGCTCAGGCCCTGCTTCCAGACATAAGTTCCGTGAGTTATCGCAGAACCATATCTCACTTCACGTTAATGCCAGATGGCGTGCTCATCATTTGCGTAGTCTGTCAATGGAAAGTGAAGTTTCTGAAGTCACAAAATAATTTATGGCTCAGTTTTGTGAACCCAGGGTGCCGTTTTCTGCAATCGGTACTGGATGTAGACAAAGAAAGTCTGCAGTAGTGGCAGCAGGGAAGTGTTCCCCGTCGTGGCGTCTGAAGTGTTTAGGTGACTGCTGTGATTTTGTTACATGTTTGTTTACATGTTTTTTATAAGATAAGGAATGTTTTGGACAATTAAGGCTGGGAAATATTGTGTTTGAATTTTGCATGCTAACGTTTTTATTCCATTCCTTTCAGTATTTTTATTTTTTTTTACATAGAGAAACAAAGCTTCACACATGGACGTTTACAAAAGCCGCTTGATTGATTGATTTTTAGTAATTAGAGCGTTACATTATCTGTAAAACCCTCAATCTCGGCTGCCAAATGTCAGTGTCGAAGTGTGCCAGAATTGATTGCTAAAAGTTAATGCTGCATGTAGAGCCGCTCGAAAACGGATTAATCATTTCTGCAGTTTTTCCACACAGAAGGCCAAAAACGGAGAGTGAACCTTGTGAGGTTTTGATTCCCCGAGCGTGAACGTTTGTTCTCTGCGATCGTATCAGTATCTCTGGATTTTGGACTCGGTTTGATGACTTCACCTTAAGTTCTGGGAAAAAATGTGTTTCACAGCTTTCACTGTTTCTTGGGCTGATTGATAAATCAAAGTGATTATTGGCAGATGAGCCCCAAAAACCGGGGTAGTCAGGGGGTCAGCGTGGGGACTTGAGAGACCATGATGAAAGATGTGACCTCATGACCTTAGTTTTCCGCTGAGGATGGCGTCTTGGTAGGTGTAGCTGTGATCAGCAGATTAGCTCCAGGGAATAATTACATTTTAAAGATGTTATTCAGCGCACACTGAAATGGAACGGTCTCACGCAGTCATTTATACACTTTTTTGTGATGGTAGGAGAATTGTCTCCCCTTTCTGAGTCAACATGTTCAGAGCTGCTGCTTAAAAATCTCTTACGAACTTAAATGGAATTATTTTCCTTTCTATAGAACTCATATTCCCATTTGATCTTGGGAATAAAATGACAAATCAGAGAGGTGAGAATATATCAAACTTGAAATAATTTGAACTTGCCGCGCTGGCCTTTGGCCTCCCCGCGCCCCCCGTTTTGAGCACCACTGGTTAAAGTAGATCAGCGGGTGAATGGCAGCGACCTGATCCTTCTCTAATGACCGCGATCGCTGTCTTAAGATAGACTCTCTTTAAAAAAAGAACAACACTCCCTTGTGCAAGACTTCTGAGATGTGATGTGACGTGGACTGCGGCCAGTATTACCACATTCTAATATCACCGGACAGCTGGATGTGTTACTTTGCGTAACCTACTTTCCCTCCCTTCCCACCCTTTAATCATCTTGTCTGTCTAAAAGAGTTGTTTGAGAAAGTGAAATCCCCCGTCTGTCATCTGCTCCTCATCACAGCTCCCATATCTAATGCTGGCACGCGTTCCCCGATGATGTAAAATGTGTATTTAACAGTGACAAAACTTTGTCAGTAACTGCTTACAGATGATTCACCTACGTACAAAGAACCACTGTGCTGCAGCTAATGATGTTAGCGTACAAAACGTCAGCATCGTATTTTAAAACGTAAGGAGTTAATAATAATAACTTTCCACGAAAGAGATTCCAAATGTGCAGTTCGATGGGTTTTAGGGTCAAAGGTGAGGTAGAGCCAATCCCAGCAGACACCAGGTGAGGGCGGGGTTACAACCCGGACTACAGTTAACCCTTTCAAGTCCGTATCAGGGCCACATGTAGAGACAAACATCTACAGCAGTGATCGTCAACTGGCGGCTCGCGGGCTGTACTCGGCCCCCCAAAAAACACACACACGTTGTATTTGAACTGCAATAATATTTTTAATTAAAAATAATGACATCAAGCGTAAATATACATATACATACATACTCTACGTTTAATGTTAAGATATTGTATTTGAACTGCAATAATATTTTTTAATTAAAAATAATGACATCAAGCAAAAACCCATCTAGTAAATATTTTCATAGACTCTGTACTATAGACTTTTAATAAAAAAAAAACAAAACAGATCCCCAGCCCGGGATGTCAAACATACGGCTCACGGTCCAAAACCGTCCCGCTTTGAGGCTTTAATCTGGCCTGCTTGATGAATTTAGAAAAATAAAAAATTCCACAAACACTTCATGTTCAGGACATTTTGTTTTGTAAAATGATATTTAATTAAATATGAAGATTTATCTAATGTAATTTTTTACCAGAAACAAAGGGGACAAAGACAGAGTTTTTGTTATTTATGGTTAATTGTGTTTTGACGGTACAGGTCTGTCCTGCTTGATATTTATCTAAGGTTGTATGACAAAGTGGGCCACGTTTGGCCCGCGGGCCTTAAGTTTGACGTTGAGATGGCCTGTTGCCACAGCTCATAAATCCAATTCAGAGACCATTCCTTCACACGATCACGGTCTGTAAATCTTTAACCTGGTTATAAAACTGTGGGATTTTTTTTATTTTGCCGACTTTGTACTTTCTTGAGTGCATTAGCTCATATCAGACACAGTCCCTGAGAGACCATTTGGAAAAGAAGCTCGTTAACTTGCTCCATCCAAAACAGTTAGTCTAACAACACGACAGGGATCGTACTTTTCTCCTTTAACACCGCTGAACCTGCTTTTTCCCTCAAATATTAAATCACGAGCTTGGATTTCAGTGTTTGCCACTGACTTTTGCCGGCGGCCATGCGGGATCGATCCTCTGTCACCTTTTACACAGAGCAGAGTTATTCACCTCTCCCCAGTGAACGCTGCCTCATGAAGGATCAGTCAGGGCTTGAATCTGTGACCTAAGAGCTTGGCAGCGCCCTTTCTTGATAAGTTGTCCTGTGCTGCGGTGTTGGTGGGTTTTCTGTTGAAGCGGCGGAGCCACCGAGGGTGGACTGGCTGGCACATGTTGGTGCCACAGAGGAGAGAGTCGTCCGGCATCAGACCCTAATGACAGAGTGGGTAGTGATAGAAGATAGAAGGCCGTTTCCAGAAAAAGAACGGGACGTTGCCCTTTCATTTACAGAGATTAATGCTGTATATGCAGAATGATGCACGTACGTTTATCTATGGCTGAAACCGTCGCAGACCAGAAAATGATCGACATTAGAAACGTATTTTTGAACATTTAATATGCACTTACTGATAAAGTGGGCCAGCCTTAAAACACTGTACTGCACTGTAGTAAATATGCTGTATATTTATTATATGTATTATATATATTTATTTATGTGTATAAATATACATACACACATAAATGTATATATATACATATATGTATTATATATATTTATTTATGTGTGTATATATATGCATATATGTGTATGTATATATGCATATATATTTACAAACACACATATACACATACATGTACACACATATACATGCATATACGTATAAATATATATACATATATGTATACATATATACATCAATATATGTATTATATATTTATGTGTGCATATATATATATATATACGCAAATGTATATATATACATATATGTATGTGTGTATACAGTATATGTATATGTGTAGATATGTGTGTTTATATATGTACACATACTGTATATACATGCATATATAAGTAACTATACATATATGTATATTTGTGTATGTATACGTGTATATATATTTACAAGCACACATTTACACATACATGCATACATATATACATATAAATATATAAACATATATGTATACATATATACATCAATACCATGAAATACGGCAATAGAAAACTATTGGAAAATTGCCTTAGCAGTTAAGGGTCAAATGCTAGTTTCAGATCTTTTGGAGTGGCGTTCATGACCCAGTTTAGAGGAAAATAGACAACAGAACACAACAGTAGAGGGTGTGTGTGAGTGGAGACGGTGTAGGAATAATGGATGAACTGTCTGACAGAAGCTCGGACTGAAAGCTACGCTACAAATCTCTTTATTTTGTATAGAACGTAATATGAACTTCTGGTTTTACAAAAGGATTTACACTAGAATCCTTCACGTTGGAAAAGCTAAGGGTCCAAGTCTTGATGGTAAATAAAAACTGTTTTCTGAGAGAGAAAAACAGAGAAAAAGACACGTGGCCGCAAACTCTACTTCAATCATCTGCTCTGAGTCAAAGCACAACTTCACACACACAGTTTTACTTTGGGAAACTTTAATATTGTGCTTACGACAGCGCTGCTCCCTGTGAGCAGTCTTTGTTCTCCTCTCATTTTCTCTGTCTTCAGCTAA